TGATTTTTATGTTTGGAGGATTCAATACTGTTTACTATAATGATATGATTAAACTCTATATCTCCAATATGACTTTGTCAGTATTGTCTCAGCCTCAAAATGTTCCTAAATATGCTGATTATGCTGCAATACTATTACCAAACAGTTCAATAATTTATATCGGTGGACGTTCGCAATCTAATACGTCACCTTCGGTTACTATGGTTGATATGACTCAGGTATAGCTTGATAATGTCTGCATAATTTAATTTTTTTCCAATATTTATTTTTTAAAGGTTACCTCACTTAATATCAAATACAGCTTCGGATATATGACACAAAAACTAATTCATGGAATACCAGGGTAATTATTATTATATCGATTTTGTTTATAGTATTTGATAGTTAGGCCTAATATTATGAAAAAAATTGTTCTTATTCAGACAGCTAGTGGAGCTACTATTGGTGTTCGCATAGGGCATTCGGCTATTTTAAGTATGTAATAATATACATATTAAGAAAAAGCCAGACATCTATTTCTAATAAACACTATTATTTTCATATTAGCAAACGATAATAATATTATTATATACGGAGGTTCATCAGAAATTAATAGATTGGTTAAAGTGAATCCTGATCTTGCAGTGTTAAATATAGCTTCCTTGACGTGGTCTGCTCCAATTGCTTCTCAAGAAAATGCACCTCCATCACTTATGTTTCATTGTGCTGCATTATATGAAAATTACATGATTATTGCGTTTGGTAATCATTGCATTGTTAATACTTTTATTTATTATGAAAATTTATTAAAAAATGTTAATTCTTTTTAGGACTAGGACAATCCCCTATAAATAATGTTTATCTTCTTAACACCAAATCTTACCAATGGGTTACTACAATAGCTTCAACAGATCCGATATCTCCAGTTCAATACGAACAACCTAAAGACGTATTATATTTAGGAATTGGCATTGGCCTTGGTGCACTTGTTCTAATTGTAGTTTCATTTTGCGCTGGAGTTTTGTTTTATAAAAGACAGCATAAAAAATCTGCAAAAGCATTGGCATTCGGGGAACCTATACATTTAACATCTTCAGCACCTTCAACATCTTTAACGGGAACACCTTTAACAGGAACACCCTTAACAGGAACACCTACTTCGGGTTATTTTTTCCCCAGAACATTATCACCTGCAACACCTACATCTGATGTGTTCTCACGAGAAACACCTAATACAACAGGCTCGTTTACCCCCAAGCCTAGATCAAAGCCTTTACCAACAATTCCTACCACTCTTGGTTCAATTCCTGTAACGCCTCCATCTGAAACTCCTTCATCTGGAACACATACGCCTAGTTCATTCATGCCTACGCCATTTGTGCCTGTATCACATAGTCCTACAACATATTCGCCAAAAACACCTACATATAATTCTTTTATGTCTAAACCATCTATGTCTGACAAGTAATATTATTAATGATAAAATTAATTTTTTTGTTTAATATATTTAAAATTTAAAATATGTTCAAATTTACAAATAATTATCAATAATTAGTATTAACATATCCTACTATATCTAATTATTTTAAAACCGGGCGGCAAAGTTTAAGAGACTGAGGAAATTATTCAAGCTATAGCAAGAATAAATTCAATATAATCACAGCATATGTAATTACATTTATGTTTAGGGCCAACTCTGGTTTAATTGATAAGAAAAAAAACCTCTATATAAGCGCAACTCTTTTATAAGCGCATTTTGAAAAAATTACTATATGCCCAACTCTGTGATTGTATGGGAGGATGACTGTAGCATAATGACAGAAGGGTAATGATACATGTACAGTATAAACTTTATATAAATTTTTATATTCTAGTTTCAATAAAACTTCTACAATTTTCATATAAAATAAATATATTATAATTCGATTCTATAAAATAAATAATTGCTAGGTTTGAATTTGAATCCATACATCGTTCTGCCAACTTCACGTAACAATCAGGAGTTCCAATTGTAAATTTTAACTGCAATCCAAGACAATTCTCTAATTTTTCACCATCAAAAAGTCCAAAATTGTAAAACTGACATGACAAACCTTCTGGTGCAGTGTAAGGGTAAACCGCCAAAATTTTCATTTGCATTTTTAGCGGACGATGTAAGACCTAACCGCAATATATGTATTATTAATATCATTATGCAAAGATATAGATCTTTATGAACACATCCTTGCGAATGAATAACTTCAAGACCAGATGCTATGCAACTTGGCAAATTTAAATTTTCTTTCCATTCCATCGTAAATATTATCACGTGAAGAACTCTTTCTGCATATTTCAATTGTCTCTTTATAATCCATAGCATTTTAAGAATGATGGATTTTTATAGATGACTCGCAAAATGCTTTCAACTTATTAATATTTTCAAATTCATCATACGGAATCAATATGTTTTACATTGTCATTAAAATCAAAATAAGAAATTTTATTTCTATCCATTATTAAATTGATGAATATAGTGATTTGTCATATAAAACAAAATCGAGAATATACATTTAAACCTGTCTTTCTCCCTATAATTATAATTATCTTTTAAGCATTCAATGTAAAATTTTTTTTTTCTAAAGAAAAAAGAACCCATATTCGAAACCAGTATTCAGCCCCTTTTAATTCTTTTTTCGACTCAATGCCATTTCAATAAAAATATTCGATATTATCCCATGTGTACTATGTAAAACTCTGCTTTTTTGACAAGGTAATTTTCATCAGTCTATATGAAAATCACATGATTCATATAGACTGATGTGAATAACCTTGTCATAAATCATCGTGTTTATGTAAGTTTGAGTCCTTTAAATTGTCGTGTGCAAGATTTTATTTAGATTGCGGTCTCTTAAATTGTCGTGTGCTAGGAAGAACATTATTAGGTTTCGGTCTTTTAAATCGCCATGTGCTAAGAAAAAACATTATTAGGTTTCAGTCTTTTAAATTGTCTTGTGCTAGGAAAACTTTATTTAAGTTTGGGTTCTTTAAATTGTGTGTTCAGGGAAGGATTTATTTATATTCTTTAAATTGTCGCATATTGAGAAGGACTTTTAAAATTGTTATTTGCTAAAAAACTAGTTATTTTTAATTTCAAAAAATATTTTTTTAATTTATTATTATTTATAGAACATCATTTATTAATTATAATTCTTTGTTCTTTAAATAGACCAAATGAAATATTTAATATCGTAGTAATGGTCTTTTTTGTGATACCGGCATGTTTCACGCGAGATGGTTCATGTGACGGTCCGGCGATGATTCACACAATGATCGTGACGCTAATTGTTGCTTTGTCGTTTTTCTATTTTTCTTTATTTAACGGTTAATAAATATTTGTTAGTGTTCTCTATATGAGAGGGTAAAAAATGTTTAATTTATAATGTGTTGCACGGGTTGTTACGTCGTACACATGGGATAAACTAGTTATTTAATGAATATCGGGTTTTTCACAGAAAAATAGTAAACCACGTGGTCTACAGTCACGTGATTTTACTGGAATATCCAGTATCCACAGAAATCCATTAAATAACAAGAAAATATTTATTCCATCAACATAAACTAGCTTAGCAGATTTTAAATATAGTACGAAGGCTTTTTTCAAGTCCTTATCAACTCAATTCTGTTTAAATAAAATTTCCATGATTACAAATCGAAATATAATTTTCCATTTCGACAGCTTGTCATAATAAAAAAAACCCCCTTATTTTTATTCTTTTAGATACAACTCCATGCTGATAACACCAACCGAAATTATTCATTCCGAACTCATCTCCCATATCAGCAGCTTTCTGAAAGTATTCGAAGGCCTTGCGTTCGTCGTTATAGATTCCAATTCCATTTTGATAACGAATAAATTCCTTATGTTCATCCTTTTCAACGAAAACCAACCATATACATTTCATCAGCGTCTCCCATATCTACTGAATTTTGATAATAAATGAATGCTTATTCCATTTCGATAATAATGTCAACATCATATGGGGTCTTTTACATTAAAAGGGCCCATTTTGCAAATTTTTTGAAAAATGAGTTTTTATTAGATTCATGTAAATTTTAACATGACTGACATTTTTCAATTATAAATGAAAAGCGATTTGCATAATAAAAAATAGAGATAATTTAAAAGAAAAATTGTACGAAGCTGTCTAAGGTCAAGCACAGCACGAGATTACCCGATAGTCACCTGTTACGTTTGACCAATCAAAATCGTGAAATTTGCTTAATCCTTTAATATGAAAGACCCCATATAATTCACTGGAATTCACCATTTCTGTTGATTTTTGGGGAAGTTTCAAGAACAAGGAACCCAGTGATCACATGATTTACACTCCGGCCTAAGTTAGGGTTAGTGTTAGGCTTAGGTGATGGTATAGTTTAGGCCGATTTATTAGAGCTAGTAAACAAATGACGTCATTGCAAAATTTCACGTGATGTGATGATCACTGGGTTCCTTGTTCTTGAAGTGTCCCGATTTTTGATTAGTAAATAAATGTCTGCAGACTTATCATAATAAAAAAAAGCCTACACTCATCTTTTCTATGATGATACCATGTCTTGATAACAGTAATTTATTTCACACATTCCTTCAGCATTGCCTGATTCACTGGATTTTTGAAAAATTTTGAACACTTTCATTTCATCCTTTTCTTTAAATACTGTACTTGGATGATTTTTTTCGTTCATATTTAGCGAGAAATGAATCAAAATTCTTTTATTTACATTGACCAAAATACAAATATGCGAGGTTATTAAAGATATTCAAGTGCAAATGCAAGTGCAATTTTATACTTCATATTTATAAAAAAACCAAAAAACAAAATCCAGTTGTAATACCAAGGTTATAACAAAGTGATTCATTTTAACCCTTTTATGAAACTTTTCCTATATACATAAATACATTTTTGCTTTTTTTATTTTTTTTTTCTCCCGTATCATTTACTGGGGAGATAAATTGATAATCATTGATTGTCAGACTATAATGAACAACTCGATGTAACTAAAGTTGTAAACTTACAATAGTTTTAAATTTTGATGAAACTTACGATGTAACAAGCAATTTTTATAAGTTCACTTAGTCAAAATTCCAAAATCATGTAAGTTATGGTGTAAGTTATAATGTAAATTTACAACCCTAGTTATTGTTACCCGTTGTAACGGGGAATATGATTTGGCCTAAAGCACATGGTCAAGATCGTGACTAAGAATATGTAACCTGAGCCACAAGCCTGGAACCTTTATTGTTAGCGTTAGCATGTGAGATGGTATTTAACAATGCTATTTCGGGTTTGACTTTGCCAATAAAAAATTTTGTAGCCAATGTTATAAAAAATTTTTCTGTTTTCCTTTAAAAAAATGTTTCGAAATGGAGTCGATTTTCCAAATATATATTTCTACAACCCAAAAAAATTTTTTTACGTCACGGAATAAAAATCGTAAAATATCATACTGACATTCGGAAAATCGACTCCGTTCCGAACATTTTTTGGACAATGCCTGCAGTAACTGTACAAACTTTTTTATAGGGTCGAGGTGAAGCATAGATATTGAATAATCTAAGTGAAGCTCATAGTCATGTAAATAAGTATCAAGTATCGCATGATTTGTATGTATACGTAAAATTGAGATCCACATTAAATTTGTGAATTCCAGGTCTAACGCTAACTTCAAAATTTGCTAATTATAGTTTGGTCAAAATGATCTGCACTTATTTGCGCGAGTAATACAAACCCTAAAAAGGAAATGGCCAATCGGAGAGCAAATTTTGACTATTCCGGATCCGCCTGAACACGCACGAAAGAAGAAAAAAAAATCAAAAACCAGTGTTTAAATCGCTTAGTGCATATAATGGGCAACAACCTATTTCTATAGCCTATAATGTTAACGCCATAGCCCTAAACTTCTATCTTTACGCACTCAGTTTATTTACAAAATTCGATTTCCTTTTTTGGTTGTGTTACTCGCGCAAATAAGTAAAATCTTGTCGCGTCTACTATGTCTAAGACTTTTTTGTACATGCCCAATTCTGACAAAACTTCACTCGAGTACCGGTTCATATTTATATATTATTAATGATTACAGCTGTTTTCACATATGACTCGGGACTAGTGATATGGGTTGACCCCGACCCATCGACCGGGCGGGCGGGCGGGCCGACCCTCGACTTGCAACTTCATGGGCCGGGCCGATTAATGTAAAAATAATTTTTTAGTAAAAAATTTTCTTGTATAGATTGCATGTACATTAATTACATGAATTTGATTATAATTTATCCTGATTCTTTGCATTAAATTTATTGGCATTTATGATATAGAACGAGTGCTTATTTT